TTAGGGTGGAGGCCATCGCTAGTAGGTTGGAGGCCATCGCTCTTACTGTAGGTTAGAGGCCATCGCTCTTAGGTTGGAGGCCATCGCCCATCGCTCTTAGGTTGGAGGCCATCGCTCTTAGGGTGGAGGCCATTGCTTAATATATATATATATAGAGAGAGAGAGAAAGGTTGGATGCTGCACAGTGCGAAGCTTCTGACTGCTGGCACTTCAGCTCACAAACACAGACTCAGGAGCCCCGCCACACTTAGCCGGGGAGAGCAGCTGGGCGCCTCGTAGGGGCTTTAGTTACTTCAGATTGAGATCTATATTAAGATCACCCAAAGGACTAAAGCCACCGTCTTGTAACACGAAGAGTGTGCTGAATGTGCGTGCTCCACAAGTTGAGTAGACGAAAAAGTGAGTTCACCCGACGGCCTCAGTGGGCGTTGGCCGCGGGGGCGCTGCCACTCGCACCTCCTCCACAAGGGCGACAAACATTGCACTGGTGGTATTCGTGCGAGGTGTTTGACAGTCCAAACCCAAGTCCTTAAAATAGCTCTAACTGTTGGTTACATAGACATACAAAAGAATCCAAATGATCACACATGTCTGTCTTATGTGTTATTCCATCTCTTTGTTTACTGTTTCCTTGTTCTTAGGCTTTGGACCGGTCTTTCATTCCAAACCCAAGGCATGAAAGAATGCCATCTTATCGGGAGGATTGTCTGATAAAGTGCCAGACTTCATCTCCTGCACCCATGGAGGGGGAGAGCTGTGCACTTTTTCCGGGCAATCTGAACCTCAAATGGAGGAGTCAAACACCAAAGTGATGGTGTGTGGCATTCACCACCTGTGGCACTGCAATTCGAGAATCTCAAATTTTTCATCCTGGTGCCTCTACTTGTAGCCTAGGCATCTCGAAACTCTTGGAGTCAAAGGTCATCTGCCATCAATGCCATGCACTACTTATTATCTCAAAAGGCCAGCACCGGAAAAAAGAATTACACCACCGTAGACCCCAAACAGTTTGTGTTTTTCAAACTCGGAACACTCGGCAACTAGAGCCTGCGACGTCCAGAGCTGGGAGACAAAGGATTGCAAGGCAGAGGCGGACACAGCAGTCCAGAGCTGGGAGACAAATGCAAAGGATTGCAGGGCAGAGCAGACCAGAGCTGGGAGACAAATGTGAAGGGTTGCAAGCGAGAGGGCACATGTAAAGGATTGCAAGGCAGAGGCGGACACAGCAGCCCAGAGCTGGGAGACAAATGTCAAGGATTGCAAGCAAGTGGCGGACACAGCAGTCCGGAGCTGGGAGACATGTAAAGGACTGCAACACAGCAGTCCAGAGCTGGCAGACAAATGGAAGGGATTGCAGGGCAGTTGGCACTGCGCAACAAGAAGGAAGACAAGAAGGGAAACAAAAGGAAACAGAAGGGAGACAAGGCGGACACAGTGACCAACAAGAAGGGAGACAAAGGGTGACAAGCCGGACAGAAGGCGGACACGCTGTCCCGCAGCAAGGCGGACACTCTTAGAAAGCATTGAGGACCCCTAACAGTGACCTGTTTGTAAAGAAGTCACCCAGGAGACAAATGAATAGAAATGCTGCATGGCCAGCGGAAAAGGGCGGACACC